AAAAAAGTGAAAAAGAGAATGGATAGGGAGTGGAGAAGGAATAGGAGGAGGAGAAGAAACGAGAGAAAGAAAAAGCGAAGGAAGAGGTGTACCGGTAATCAAAGGGTAACGAATTCCAAGTACCACGAGAATTCGGAAGATACCCTCGATGTTACAGATTCGGGTTTAATCGACGATTTCCAATGTTCTCGTAATGTAAAAATACCAAAGTCGTTCGAACCTTTACTCCGGCTTTAATCGATGCCATTGCACGATCGTTTGTCGTGGCTTCGTAATCATGTCTTGCCAGTGCTTCGTTTCGCTTGCTCCACTACCGTTTTTTCCTGAAATATATCAAATGAAACGTATCGTCGACGAATGGTTGTACGCGCTACCATTTATAAAGAAAAGAAAAGAAAAGAAAAGAAAAGAAAAGAAAAGAAAAGAAAAGAAAAAAGAAGAAGAAGAAGAAGAAGGAAAAGAGAAGGTTGCGATGAGAGGTGCCGATGGAAATGGCATTATCGAGAAAAAGAAAATATTTTACCTGCAAGTTGTATCCGTCCGATCAACTCGTTTCGGCCAATGTTGTCAAAGTCCATCACCATTACGTCCAACGAACATTCTCGAATCTTTTCCCACGGTACATTGAAAGAGAAGGCTTCGTTGAACACCGGGTTTAGGGTACATTTAAATATAGGAGTCTTCCGTTTCTCGATTCTCTTATCGCCGAATTGTAACCATACTTTTACGTATGGATCTAGACGCAGGAAGCAGGGAAAAAGAAAAAAGAAAGAATCGATCGTTATATTTCGTGGTTTCGTTGTGTTTGCCTTCTTTTCTTTTTTTCTTCTATAGGAAAATTTCGATTCGTTCACCTGATTTTCCATTGATATCCTTTGCTTTCAAATTCCTCGCTTTCAAAAGCGTCAAAGTGAGTACGGAATTGCTCGGATGATAGCACAAGGAACACAATAATTCTCCACACTTGTCCTTTGCCGGCGGTTTCAAAGCTTTCCAAAACGAAGGTTTGTCCGAAAAGTCGACCTATCGGATAACGTTGAACAAATATCGATGGTCATATCGCGATATTGAGCAAATGCGAAAACGTGTGGTCGTCGCTAGGAAGGATTAAAATTACCTGACAAAGCGGAAGGAACATTTCTCCGATAGAATCGTCCCTTGAAAATCGATCGTAGTCGAACACGTGTAAATGTAGCACTCTGCTTTGTAACTTCTGAATTGGGAAACCTAAAGGTAAATTGACGTATCGCATTAAAATCGTCTGGTAATGGTAAATGGTAATTTATCGTCAGCGTATATACGCGTCGAGTTTGCGCTTACCTTCGAAGTAGAACGTTTCGTTCCATCGAGGATTTAGCGTACGTCTCTTGATCTTCGTCTCGAGACGACGTTTCTTGTCCGGCAAGAGAGCGACGCGGACGTAAGGATCGGACGTTCCAGACAAGTCCTTTGCCGGCAAATCTTTACCCTGATAGCACGAATGAGCTTTTACGTATACGCCTTTTCCATCGTATGTCGCACATGTCTATCTCGAAACGTGGATACGTAGCTACAAACCTGTATAATACGTAGGATAAGAGTAGTATTTTGAAAGTCGTATTCCAAGCTGAAGTGAATTTGACCAACGTTCTCGCTGGGTTCCGAGTTGTCGATGTACATGTCCACCAAAGACATCGACCTGTTCTGCAGTAGGAATGCTTTCTGAAAGGAAAAGCGTTCATCGGAGATACGGGTGATTACGGAGGAAGAACCGCGCGAATCGAATCACGCCTACCGACGGATGATCTCCTTTCACATTCTGCAGCTGTTTGTTTTGTACTCCGGCTGTCGGAGTACGAGGTTCGACAGTTCCAGCAGCCACGCTGCTGGCGGTACCACTGCCGGAAACCACGTTCGCTCCAGCGCCGATTCCGCTTGTTCCCGCATTCGCGCTCCCTAGACCAGACGAGGTGGCAACACTCAAACCGGATCCGCCACCTCCCGCGGCCGTGCCGATCGTCGTCGAACCGCTCGTCCCGGCACCCGCTCCGCTGCTTCCGACCCCGCCGCTTCCACCTGCCGATGTTGCTGGTTTGTTCGCTGGACTACCAGTTGTCCTACGACAAAACCAATCGGACCATCTTTACCGGCCTCTCTGAAAACTCGAAACATCCTTTATCCAATTATACCGTAGTTCGTTCATCTTCGCCACCATCGGCGTCATCACCATCATCATCATCATCATCGTCGTCGGCGTTGCTGTCATCGTAACCGTTATGCCATTTACGTTTGAGATTTTTGCCAATCTTGCGTCTTGCCAAAATTCTTTCCCAATCTCGCGTCATTCCGATATCTCGTGTCACGTGCATTTATTAACAACGCCGAAAACTAAAGCATCTACCGCACATACATTTTCTATTATCTATTTTGGCGTAGCAAAAGCGATCGTGACGAGATCGTGTGATCGAGAACAACGGCAACGACGATCATGGAACTACAAACTAAAGTGAACGACAGATCTGGGGGTCCCCTGTTATTTCATTGGTCCAGTGCCACGAGTCATCGTGCCATGCAGGAATTTGATCGAACAGTGCCAAAGCAGCGTGACCGCGCTTCTTTCTTTCTTTCTTTCTTTCTTTCTTTCTTTCTTTCTTTCTTTCTTTCTTTCTTTCTTTCTTCGTGTCATCCGTTCCAGTTTTCTTAGACCCGCTGATTAGTTCGCATCGTACCCAACTCTGCAGCGACGAGATCACCGCGAGTTTAAAGTTGTTTTATCGTCGATACGAAAAATACCAGGAAGGTATACGCATTGACGGTACCAACGCATCTTCGGTTCCAAAGCATCGCGACCCGTTGCTTTTCGACGCGGAATGCGATCACGCTGCATGACACTCGAATCATTCGTCCGAAACGAGTATTGGAATCGTTACTATTGCTAATACGTATTGCAACTACAGTGCACCGGCTGTCTACGCTTGTCCTATTCGTCTATCGAGCTACCATCTAGGCATTCAAGTTTAATCGACGCTCGTAAAAACGCATGAAAGCAATTGCGTTTCGTGTGATCAGGTTAGGTGCACAGTGCGAAATTTCTATGTAAATTTCCCGATTTCGTCGTTTCGTAAACGTACTATTCGTATCTCGATTACCAGTATCGAGAGAAAAGAGTATCATTATCTCCCTCTTTTTCTCTATACTCAACGTCGAATCGACGGTCTATAAGTTGAATCTCGATGGAAAGAATAATCGAGGGAGAGTCGAGCGTTTAAGGAGTACAGCGAACGCAGACAGTAACAGAGCTTTTCAAAGTGTCAAGTATTTAATGCAAAAACAGTTCGAAGATCGTATGGAGAACGCGTATGCGCATTAAGAAAAAGACCAAACCCCTAACGTTTGGAATGCAGCTTGAAATCGAAGGACATGGAAACTAGATTCGGGGCTTTTAATTCAATTGAACTACTTACGCAGATAAAGCAGCGTCCATCCGCGGAATAGGATATTTCCATTAGGAAGGAGAATTGAAAGAGAAGATAGAAGAGTCAAGTGAAGCAGTAAGAGAGAAGATAAATTAAAAGTTTTGCTATCCACCAATTCGTGGTATACTTACTCCAATTGTGCTCTGGATTCCAATAGTAACCCCGAAAGGATGCATGAAACAAAAGAAATCAAAGCAGGAATTGATGAGTCTTGAGTCCAGATCTCGATTTCCACGAAATACGATCGACAAATAAGAGGAAAAGATTTCAGTTCGATGGTCTCGGAGCTGACGCGTCGCAGCATTTTCTTCGATGTCGGCCATGCCGATTCGTCGAGCACAATCGACATCGCGTTCCAAAACGCGATATAATTTATACCAATCGTAACGATAACAAATTTCGAGAAGAAGAAAATTCAGAAGAAAGATAGCCGAGTAAAGGAAAGAAGGTGAGAATTAGCGAAATATACGCATACGTACACACACACGCGCGCGCGAGCACGCACGCACGCACGCACGCACGCACGCACGCACGTACGTCATGTCCAGGCGCGCACAGAGAGAGCAAGAGAGCAAGAGAGCAAGAGAGCAAGAGAGAAAGAAAGAGAGAGAGAGAGAGAGAGAGAGAGAGAGAGAGAGAAAGGAGGAGAGGAATAGAGAGACAGAGAGAAAGAAAGAGACAAAATATACCTATACCGTGTTTTAGCTAGTTTAGAATAGTTTACTTGGTCACGCCTAAAGTTCGCAAATCGTTTTCGAAAGAGACACGTTACAACGTTAATTTTATCCTTAATTTACGGTGTCAATTTAATATACATTTCTTACCTGGTAGTGTAATATTCGAAGAAGGCAACCAGTATTTCCAAAGACTTCGTGACTGCAGCCCACATGATTTTATTGTTTCGAGAAAGTCTTTAATCACGATTATCGCGAAAACGCATTCACATTCCCGTTATCGATTTTATGATTTACTCGAACGAAAGGAAACAAAAAAACAAAAGACGAAGAACGTACTTTTCTTATTTATATATTCAACGTTCAATCGTTTAAAGATCCTTCAATCTCTTTTTTCTTTCTTTCCTTGAGCATACACTCGTCGAAGCAAATCCTTTTCCTTCGAATCACAGGATTCGACTCCGGATCCGATTCGATTCGCTTCGATTTTCGGTATTTCGATAAAATTCCCTTTACGTATAAGCTGCGTACGATAACTTCTCATTTAAGTTACACAATTTCCATACGTTTAAATATCGATTTCGATTCGAATAAGAATATTCGCAACTTGGAATCGTGAATATTTCGTGACTGAAAATATTCGCATCGCGATACGACGCCATTTTAGAACACGTTTAGCGTCCGGGCATGAACGTGGACTTCTGAGCAATAACGCTGCAAAGAGAATGGCTGCTGTGTTACGCGCGATTCACGGCTGTTTAACGTTCGCGAGTATAGGATAAATAACGAACAGTAATCGAACGATACGAAGCGGAAAATGTGTAGCTTTGAACGGTGACAAACGATAAAAACGATTAATCGTGCTCTGAAAAAGAATCCAGGCAATCCGTTCGATTATTCGGTCGGTCGGTCGGTCGGTCGGTCAGTCCGTTGGTCGGTCGGACGAACGGCTGAAAGAAGGGGGTACGATCGATCTTAGCTACATTCGACGGTACCACTGCCACGGTTCACGCCATCGCCGACGTCACCGCCACCTCCGCTGCTGCTGCCGCCGCCACCGCCGCCGCCGCCGGCCATCATCGACGCCACCGACGCCACCGACGCCA